AATACCAGATTAAAAGTAACTTCCCAGAGATCATTCACAGCCACAGCTTCTAGGCTATGGAATGGCCTGCTGGAAGAGATCCATCTTATTACTACACTAGAAGCCTTTAAGAAGGCGCTTAAGACGGCGCTCTTCCAGTGGGCCTATCCACCTGATCTCCCCAATTGTAACTCTGAAGCCTAATTGTACTGTCTGATATGGCCTCCCGGATATGTGAAGATGACGACCAATCTATGCACATGATTGGGTATTGGATTTTATTATATGGATTGTTTATAACAGTTTATTATTGTTATGATTTTATATATTGTATTTTATATATTGTATTTTTCTATATTTCTCTGTAATCCCACCTCAATCCATAGGGAGAGGCGGGAAAATACAAATAAAAACTATTATTATTATTATTATTGGGATTGCCTCTTCCCATATAATCCCCCCTGCACACTCCGGTCCTCTGGAAGGAATTTGTTACAGCCAATGAAAACTAGGCTGTCGACAACCTTCCAGAGGGCCTTTTTGGCCACCGCTCCCAAATTATGGAATGGCCTGCCAGATGAGATCCGTCAGTTGACAACTTTAAGCAACTTTAAAAAGGCTGTTAAGACGGATCTCTTCTGGCAGGCCTTCCCTGATTAGTTTCCCCGGCCTCAGGAGTCCCCTTATCCCTCCTTTATTTGGTTACAATTACTGTCCCGCCTACTATTTATTTGTTTGTCTATGGATTGTTTTTAATTATATGTTTTAACCATTTTGTTTGAATGCTAAAATTGTTTAATTTCTCTTTTAAGGGGTGAGAGGGTTGTGTGATTGTGGATTGTATTTTAATATTGTATGAAGTTTTTAAATTGTTGTGAGCTGCCTCGATTGCTTGACAGAAGGGCAGGATATAAATAAAATTTATTATTATTATTATTATTATTATTATTATTATTATTATTATTATTATTATAATACAGGGAAATATTCCAAAGAAAACCAGCTTTTAGTGTGTTCTTTTAAAGCAAAAACAACAAAGACAACAAAATTCAGACTTCCCAGCAATTTTTTCAATGTGTCTCAGGGTTTAAAGTACCTCCTTTCTCTCCATTAAAATCATGGAGTCTTTTCAGCAAAACTAAGCACTATCTATTATATAGATATCTATTATCTATTTACAAAAATTCTTCCTTGCTTCTCAGACCTCAAGGCTGCCTTCCAGTTAAAACACAACAATGCAATAAAAGCATCAGTGCAAACAGTACAAAAAAAAAAATTAAAAAAACCCCCAAAACGAAGAGCATGAAATCAATTAAAACAGCAGCAGGAGAAAGCAGCAGGATATAGAATATGCTGCCTATGGGATTGGCTATCATGACTAAAAGCAAACAGATAGCAGCAAAATCTCTGTGGACAAAGGTTCCAGGATCAAATTAGTATGTCTGGTGATGCTTTTGTAGCATTTCAAGCTGAGCTTTGAGCTATGTTAGAGGTCAGGAAAGTGGATACCTTTTATGGAACTCTGACTGTATGATGGTAGCCTTTACTGTGAAAATTATCTACTTTTCCACCTTCAAGCATGGCCTGGGTAATGGATTAGTGTCATATCAAAATTGTTTGGGGAGCAAGTATAAATGGTTAAAATTCTTCTCTACCAGTTTCTTTTTCTTTCTATTCAAGCTGGTAGCTCCCTTAAAAAATGGATTAATTGGGAATAAGCCTGGAATCTTATAACCACTTGTCCTGCTCACGATTCTTGTCAGTATTTTCATGATCAGTATAAAATTGTTCATAGAATGGGTAAGAGTACACTCTTACCCATTCTATGAATGATTTTATACTAACCAAATGACAGGGACTGCATGTTGTCTTCATACAACTAAGTATGTATACCAAATTATTCATGACAAATATACCCGCAGCAGAATCCTGTATGACTATTATGTAATGCTGTAACTATGATGCTACATAGAGGATTCTGTCCAGACACTCTTCCCACAACCCGTTTACCAGTAGACAGACCCTGGGATAAACAGGGGTCCATTCCCCAGTCCATTGAGAATCAGCTGCTTGACATTCCTACCCATTCTTGAGTGATCTTTGGCACAGCAAGGAGGAAAAGGGACACCAGCCATAAATCCCTGTGACACCAGAGACTGTTTGCACAAGGGATGGGTGGAAACACCAGGCAGCTGCTTCTCTACCAGCGGAGGAATGGACCCCTGTCAATCCCAGCAGCTGTTTACCAGTAAATGAGGTTTGAGGGATGTTCATGACGCATACTGTTGTTACTGTTGTTGTTGTTGTTGTTTGCCTTCAAGTCACTTCCAATTTGTGATGAACCTAAGATGAACCTTTCACAAGGTTTTCTGGGGATGAGAATATGTGAATCACCCAAGGTCATCCAGTGGGTTTCCATGTCCAAGCTGGGAATCAAACCCTGATATTCAGAGCCATAGTCCAACACTCAAACCACTATGTCACACTGGCCACATACCCCCTTTTAAGGCCCCCAAGAATAAGAATAAGATCTTTTCCACAATATTGGATCTCAAGCTTACAAGAGATGAAGCAAACACATTTTCTCTGAAGATGCCAGTCACAGATGCTGGTGAAACGTCAGAAAGAAACTCTTCTAGAACATGGCCAAACAGCCCGAAAAAACCACAAAAAACTAAATACAATTAAAACACAAAGTCATAAATAATAGAATACAATTTTAAAATTAAAATGCAGTGACATTACCCACCGAATTAAACCATTTAAAACAAATATATTAAAAACATTAACAGCCACAAGGCAAAGGTATAGGATTTCCCTTGTCAAGGTTGTCAAGTTACGTCCAACTGTAGGGGGCAGTGCTAATCTCCGTTACTAAACCAAGTGAGCCAATGTTGTCAAAGACAATCCCATGGTCACATGGCCAACATGAATGCATGGAACATTACTTTCCCATCAAAGTGGTACCTATTTATCTACTTGCACATTTACATGCTTTCAAACTGCTACATTGGCAGAAGCTGGAACTAGTGATGGAAGCCCACCCCATCATGTGACATTTGGGTCTCAAACTGCCAGCCTGCTGATCTTGTAATTACCAGAGTCAGTGTCTTAACAGCTGAGTCACCACATCCCATGTCTCATCTGCAAAACAGCACATTGAGTCTTTGTAATTTCTAACAACCTGTCAGGGCAGGAAAGTATTTACTTGTCAAGAGAAGGACAGCAAGGAGGGTACCATCCTAGCCTCCCTGAGGAATGAGTTCCAAAGCCTGGGAACAGCCACTGAAAAGGTCCTCTCCCTTGTTCAAATGAAAATTCTGCAAAGAAAACGGGACCATGAGATGGATCATTTACTAAAAAGGAAATATACGGCCTAAGCAGACTGCCAGAAATAGTGCACATTAAATTGAGGCACTGCCCTGGCTCAGTGCTAGGGAATCATGGGAACTGTATTTTTTTTTCTGAGACATTGAGCCTTCTCTGTCAGAGAGCTCTGGTGCCACAATAAATTACAGTTCCCATGATTCCCTAGCACTGAGCCAGGGCAGTGCCTCAATTTAATGTGCACTATTTCTGGCAGTCTGCTTAGGCCGATAGTCAGCCCTCTACATTTGTGGCTTTGATTTTTGCAGATTTTATTATTCATGGATTTGATTAACATGTTCTCTCTAGGAAAGAGTAGGTCCCCCAGCATGACTTTGCTGGAAGTTGACCACAGAGTCATACTGGGGGACCTAGAGATTTCTAGAGAGAACACATCTGTAGGCATTTGTAGGTCCTCCAGTATGGTTCTCTCAGGCTGGAAAAAAAGGTATTTTTTTTACTTTCACGAGGGCTCCGTGCCCATAACCCCAGCAAATGTGGAGGGCTCACTGTATATAAATACCTGGAAGTTTAAACTAATCTAAAGTAAAAGTATAACTCTCTTTCCCTCTCGCTCTCTCTCTGTCTGTTACTTTTGTGCCACTGAAGGCTCACCCTAAACTATGCATACATCACAGCAAGGGAAAAACAATGCATCAGATACAAAGAGAGAAGTTTTCCCATGATCTGCAGGTGGCATCTTGATTGTTATATATATGTATTGTGGTTTGAAATTTACACTTAAAACATTTCCATAGGTCTCTAATGGCTACTGTGTTCTCTACTAGATACAAATGATATTCATTAATCCACCTCAGTTTTAATTAACTTCAAAACAGACAACCCATTTAAAAACCTAAGTAGTGAAAAGCCCCAGAAGATCTGAGCTAATAATTTCAATTCAGGCTGAATCCCTATTCCCAGGAGCACCTGGTCAGTCAAAAGAACCTTCCAGGTTCACTTACTGTGAAACAACCTTACTCAGTAGATAATGACCACACAATCTGACCCAGAGGCACACTTAAATTTATTCAAATCAAGGAGTTTTAATTCTCTGTTGGGCTGTTAACTACTAAAAAAATCCTTTCTCCTTTTTCATAGTCAGTTTCAGGTACTTAAGTGCAAAATACAAGTGCTCTCTCTGTATTGCTTCACAGTGGAATATATGAATTTAAACCATAGGAACAGCACACAGAACCAGTGTGGTGAAATGGTTTCAGCAGTGTGGTGTAATGGTTTGATGATCAGGGTTTGATTCCCTGTTCAGCCATCAAAACCCACTGGGTAATATTGGGTGAATCACACACAATGAGCCCCAGAAAATCTTGTGATAGGTTTGCTTTAGAGTCGCCATAAGTCAGAAAGAAATTGATGGCAGACAATAAAAACAGGAACAGTGCACCCTCTAGAGCAGGGGTAGGCAACCTTTCCCCTTTAAGGGCCGAGGGACTTCAGCTCCCAGAATCCCAGGAGCTATTGGCCAACATGGACTATTGGCCAACATGGCTGAAGCTTCTGGGAGCTGAAGTCCCTCAGTCCTTAAAGGGGAAAGGTTGCCTACCCCTGCTCTAGAGGTTGTTGAACTGTAATTCCCAGCAGCCCTTGCCAATTGTAAAGAATGCTGGGAGTTTCAATTTGGTTTGTCTTTCTGATTCAAACTGTTAAACTGACCTAGAAAATATAGGATTTTGCTACTGTGCAAGCAATAATTCAGACAAATTCCCAACAGATGTTAAGTGGAAGGGTCACGGAAGAGAGGAAGAGAGAGTGGGAGAGTTAAAATAATTCCTGAAATTAAAAAACAAACAAACTAACTAAAGAATCATGGACCCAAGTGGGAAATTATACTTGGTTCAATTACTCATATGTATTTCAATTCTGATCACTCTAGAGCATTCCTTGAGCTCTAATTCATGTACATGAATTCATACAGTCTGGGGAAATGAAAGTTACCCAGTTTAGGCTCAGGAAAGAAAGTAAGTAAGGTTGGAAATAAAACAGAATCAAAAACAGTAGGCAGATTTGGACTAGGCAAAAGGAATGAAACAGGTGAGCATCTGATAGATTTTTGTGAAGCCAACAACCTATTGATTGCAAACACATTTTTCATAAAACCAGAGAAAAGGTTATACACATGGACAGCACCAGATGGCCAACACAAAAACCAAATAGATTACATAATTGAAAGTAAAAGATGGTGAAGCTCCATACTGGTGGCCAAGACTAGACCAGGTGCTGATTGTGGCACAGATCACAAACTACTCATTTCAAAAATAAAAGTAAAACTCAAGAAGAGAACAAAACCAGTCATCTCACCAAAAGATGATTTAAACAATATTTCCACAGAATTCATTGACAATATAAGGAACAGATTTGCAGTAATAAGAATAATAGATTGTGAACTGGAAGAGCTTTGGTCTGAAGCCAGGGACATAATAAAAGAAGAATGCATAAAGACATCTCCAACAGACAAAAGGGAAGTGAAGAAACCATGGATGATAGATAAAACACTACAAGCAATAAAGGAAAGAACAGAAAGAAAACAAAAAGAAGATAGGAATAAATTAAGAACCACAAATGTAACAGTATAACAGCTAGTGTGCAAAGATAAGGAAAATTACTACAATGACAAATGTAGAGAAATAGAACAAAACAACAAAAAGGGAAGAATGAGAGACCTATTCCACAAGATTCGAGAAATCAAGGGAAAGTTCAAACCAAGGAATGGGACACTCTACAAGAATAAAAATAACATAATTCAAGACCAGGAAGGAATAAAAAGACAATCGATGCAGTACACAGTAGAGTTATATAAAAGAGATGGCAACATGAAGGACACATGGAATGAAAAGCCATATGAAGATGAACTTCAAATTCTAAAAACTGAGGTGGAAACTGAAATAAAAGAAATAAAAGAAATGGCAAAAAACAAGACTCCAGGAACAGATGATATTCCAATAGAACTATTACAGTGACAGAGTCAACTCTAGTGCTAACCAACATATGTCAACAGATATGGAAAACAAAATGATGGGCAATAGACTGGAAGTGATCAATATACATCCACAAAAAAGGAGACAAAAGAGACTGCAACAACTATAGTACCATAGCACTAATCTCGCATGCAAGCAAAATCATGCTCAAAATTCTGCAACAAAGGCTCCAACCATACATGGAAAGAGATCTCAGAGGTCTAAGGAGGGTTCAGGAAAGGAAGAGGCACTAGGGATCACATTGCAAATATTCAATGGCTAATGGAGCATAGCAGGGAGTTCCAAAAGAAAATCAGCTTGTGCTTTATAGACTATAGCAAAGCCTTTGACTGCATAGATCATGAAAGACTATGGAATGCCCTTAAAGACATGGGAGTGCCAGCACATCTGATAGTCCTAATGAGGAATCTGTACTCAGGACAAGAGGCTACTGGCAGGACAGACCATGGAGAAACAGAATGGTTTCCAATTGGCAAAGGAGTCAGATAAGGCTGCATCCTATCACCCTACCTATTCAACTTATATGCAGAACATATGGTAAGGAAAGCAGACTTGCTCATGGAAGAGGGAGAAGTGAAAATAGGAGGAAGAAATATCAACAATCTGAGATATGCTGATGACACCATAATACTAGCAGAGAACCTCACAGACCTGGAACAACTACTAAGGAAGATCAAAGAATAAAGTGCAAAGGCAGGTTTACTGTTGAACATAAAGAAAACAAAAATAATGACCACAGAGAACTTACACACATTCAAACTAGACAATGAGGAAATAGAAATAGTAAAAGAGTTCTCATATATGGGATCAAACATTGATTGGAATAGGGACTGCAGCCAGGAAATCAGAAGAAGATTAAGAATGGGGAGGGCAGCTATGAAAGAACTAGAAAAGATCATAAAATACAAAGACATACAACTCAGCACAAAAATCAGAATCATATAAGCCATTGTATTCCCTATTACCATGTATGGATGTGAGAACTGGACAGTCAAGAAAGAAGTTAGGAGGAAATTAAACTCATTTGAGATATGGTACTGGAGAAGAGTGCTGAGGATTCCATGGACAGCCAAAAGGACAAACAAATGGGTCCTAGAGCAAATCAAACCAGAAATATCCCTAGAAGCCAAG